TAAACATATTTAAGTGTTCACATGGCATGTAATATGGGAAAGTTTGAAGTCCATTGTCTTTAAGCCATTATATCTCAACAACAGTATACAAATTTTTTGGTAATCGGCCCCGGCCTGGAAAGGAAAGCTCTCGAAGTTTCATACTCATCACGTTCTTAGCAGGAGTTATATAGACAAGGTAAAGAAAACAAATCATGACAATTTCAGAAAAGGATGATAATCTCATTCACTCAAAAATAATAAGCATTTTGATATTTGTTTTTGTATATGAATTTTCTTCATAATGAAGTCTTTAAACTACTAAAAAAAAAAATAAAAAGGAAAAAAGAAAAAAAAAATTACCAAATGGAAAGCAATAACTAAACATTGGATGGAGAAGATAAGTTAACAACCTTGTTTTGTCTTCCCATGAGCCAAAGAAGAGTTCTCCTTGCAAAAGATGGTGCATTTTCTTGAAATTCCAGGCTGTTATATCTCTGGATTTCATCATCACGACCAAGTTCACTTCCTCCATTTTCCCACCGACTGGTGTCGATTTCAGATATTGTCCTCCTACCACCATGAACACTGTTCTTGGGCTTCAACTCATCGGTAGCCATCATGTTCTGGTTACCGGGTATCCGGAATGAAAACGCCCGCCTGGACGACTCGACTGTGGCTACATTAGTCCTATCCTTTTTTCCCCTTAGCCAAATCTTTGAAAGTGAAAAGCTTTCCCTCTTGCTTTTCCCAATGGCCTTTCTGTTATTGCCACTAGTAATACTACTATCATTGCCACCTTCTTGAATTTCAGCAATCCTAATTGCTTCAGAACCGATGAATTCTCGTCTTGAATCACATCCACATTCAGAAAATGCTTGCCTATGACCTGGTGTCAATGGCAAAGTATGTTTCTTGGTCGATTGTTTCTTCATAGGGGTTCTAATGGGAACTTGCAATGATAAATTTTCATCCATTACATAAGCAAAAGAGCCCATGGAGAAGCACCTTCTTGCATCAGAGCTGCTATCGCTACTACTTTCACCTCGACCTTCGACATTATTGAACTTCCCAAGCTTTATCCTTACAAGTTTTCCTCCCGAACCTACAACTATTTGCTGATTGCCCTCGTCCTTCGATTGAATTTCACAAGAGTTATGCACTGGCTCTTCGTGAGGTGGTTTAAATTCATTATCACAATGAACATTCAATTTAGAATTCACACTTGAAACTGAATTACTGGTGTCTAATCCACCCTCCCTATCCAAA